ATGAGTTGGAAAAGTAGAATAAGTAAAACATGTGAATATTTTGCCACTATAACTGACAGCACTAACACCTTCGGTGACAAGTACACATTTCAATTACAGATTTCTGTGCCTACAACTAATTAATCAATGTTATTTCCACTTTTATGATGAAACAGTGGAATTTGATGTGCGTGAAACAAAAACAAATAGACATATTACAGCAGTAAAATACGAACGCTGTGACAAAATACATTAAATACCATCTGATTCATTTATTTCTGTTTTCTTAGTATAAGCGTAACTTTTTGATTTTACAGCAGCAACGATTCCTTGACACTCCTTATGATTGATCTCAGAAACGAAATCAACCAAAACATCTCAAATGCAATCCATCACTTATTGAAACACATTATATTAATACCCTAACACGTTATTACTCATTTTCACAATCCCATATCTCTCCTTCCCACAGACTGTCCTTCGCAGATCACGCTACGAAAACCTCCTCCACCGCAGCAACTGCAATAGAATCGCATTGAACCTCCTTTTTTTCGCTCTCCGCTCGCATCCGCGCCCTTCTTCATTCCGCGCAACTGCGCCCGGGCCCGATTTGGCAACAGGGCACGAAAAAGGGGTCCGAAACGCAAACGGCGCGTCGGAATCTGCACGCGTGTATATAGTGTTATTGTGTCGATGGAATCTATGGTCATGTGTTTTCAATATTTTCGATAAGGACTCGGTTTCGACGCGATACCGGGTTGGCTCCCATGTGCTATTGATTTCGCGTATCTCGGACATTTATGTTGGTAGAGAGTAATGGCAGTCGACCACACAATCGCACCTTACGGAATGCAAAAAGGGTCGCATTGACATCTCCACCGGAGTCGGAGTCATTCTGCATTTAAAATCAGTTTCGTGACCGACCTACAATTTAAAAATTCATTTTCCCCTAGCGGCTGGTTAACGCCTGCATTCAATTCCGTGTATGGACTTAGGAATAAAAGCATTCTCTGGAATCGGAAGGGATATAAAGATGCTCATAAGTTTTCAATGCCGTTTAAAATCATCGGAGATTCGTACGCGGGCAACGATATACATTCAGATTATACTGTTTCATACGAGATATTTCCATATCCCCGAACCAATTACTATCTGCGCAGTTTTTTCTGCGATTCTGTTTGGAAATCCATGAAAACGCAACCGAAAATGAAAGCAGAGGGCCAAAGGTTTTGCATTGAATGCCAAATTGAATCGTGAGTTGAAGAACGTCTGAATTTCGACGATTGTCATTTTTCAACCAATTGAAAGACTGGGTCGCAGGATAACTGAATGGCATATTATCTTTTCTCTTTTTCAGTTATAGAGATTAATGAAAATCAACATTCAACAATATTGCTCGGGGTATTAGTAGGTAATTATTGTTACATAGGTTTATTTTATTTTACTATTATGCTTAATTTTACAACTGAAAATTAGGGAAGATGATTACACGAGCATATTGACTGAAATAATAATAAGGAAGTGATTTTAATCAATAAAGCAAGTCTAAAGACACTCTAGTTGATTACTAGATTTGCAATTTATTTAACAATATAACTGAAAGAGACCGGCAATGAAATATTTATTTATTTCTATAGTCTTTTCGTTGCATGTGAGGTATCTTTCGCAAGTAGATAAAGTGTCTTTATCCACTTTCATTATTTAACGTCAAACTATAAGATAATGATCTCAGTTTTGTAATAAGACTTATTAGAACATAAGAGTTTAAATAATCCTAAGCTCATTATTAACAACTCTAAAAAATGTCGAAATAATTCCGACACCCATATGAGGAGTTACATTCTTTTTATTTTCTGCATTTGCGAAAGATATACTGTAGCAGCACATTATTAACCATTAAAACGAGATTTTAATCTTACAAATAAAATAAATATGTACATACTTTTACCAGAAATGCTTAGTTATTCGAAGAGTATATTTTCTGCCACCTGTCTTTCTGGATACGGAACATATTTTTGAAGAATCGATCTTCTTGATTCTAAAGTAAAACTTTCGTTATTGAGATTGTAAGTTATAACTAATATCCCATTCTCAGTAGTCCAATTGTATTTACTTCAACAACAACATCAAAAGTTTGAGCGTAAGAACATGTTGTGTCTTGCTGTGCGAATTATTATTTTACCAATGTTTTTATTCTAGCAATCAATACATCTAGGATCATTACTAACAATTGTGCGTACATAGCACTTTTAGATTTAAAAACCGGAATTATTTGACAAGTCTCTTGGTGCTACTCGAATTGATTCCCAAAACGAACAAAAAATCAAGTGCTATAAATATACGGGTTATAAAAATTTGTTCACACAAGTGCTTGTCTTCGTACATATTTGTCTGTTCAACATAATATAATTTACGCAAGTAATACCTTGTATATATTTTAAGAGTCAATGGAGACAACATAACAAGAAATACTTTTCAAATAGTTTACAAACTAGAAATAAAACTGAACGATTGGAATTATCTTCTCGTCCGGTGCAGCTGACGCTCATTGACACTGTGAATATCTTGGAAACTGCCTAAGAATATTTTTTATTCATTTGCATATCATATATTCACTAATATATAAATGAATTGCAATCATTTGCTTGGCTGACATTCTTGTTATTTTGGCAAAGTGACACCGTAACACTGATTCTATGATTTCAATAAAAGGGCAATATATTTTCCCTCGGGAAAACAAGTTCAGATTTCTGCTTTGACAGCATTTAAAGATGTTTGATAGGTAAGGTAGCTGCAGTTGCCCTGATTTCGTTGGAACATATTGGAGCTTGTCAATAAATGTTCCAATACGATACTCTTTTGTACTCTCATTAAACGGGATATTGCCCCATATTCCTGGATGCTGTTTTAATTCTCTCGCAACAAAAAAGACGTGTTGCTATTTTCCACAACGACCTCAATCTCTTCGAAGAGTTTAGACGTCGTTATAAAGTTTTCATTTCCGAGTTATGAAAAAAAGTAAAATACATTTTGGGGTTTTACTGAGTGTAAATTTTTTTTATGTACCATTTGAAAAAATTCATGAGAAATTTCAAGTACATCTCAGCATTGTTTAAATATGAATTATTTTTAATTAGCATATTGTGACACTATAATAATCCAAGACAAACATCATATTTAAATGTTTAAACGCTGTATTCACGATTTATTATTCCATGAATTGTATTTGACTTTCAAAGAATCAATAAAGGTAGCCCAAATTTATCATTATAAATATAGTAAACATTACAAATATACATCAAGTGAATCGAAACAAATAGTGTACTCATGTAACAACTCTTAAGCAGTATTATACTACACATCTACGTAAAAATATAATACACCATACAAAATAGAAATGCAAGTGAACTGTGAACAGAAAAGCACACATCGTAATCAACATAATGCGTAGAGAATCGATACCACACAAACATTCACACACAGAAAGCAAAACCAACAAAAGAACAACCACAGTCCCAAACGGCGCGTTGCGCCCTCCCGCGCGCCGCAGCGCGTCGTGCGAGAGGTCTGGGGCGCACCCCAGCGGTGATGAGTGGTGATGAGAAAGCGAAGCCAGCACATGCACGCACCGCGCAGCTGGCGCCCCCCCCTCTTCCCCCCTCCAACCGGTTCTCACCCCCACCGCCGCCACCTCCTCCTCTTCGGCTGAACGTCTCCCCGCACGTTAGGACCCCGCGGCGAGAGCAAACAACAAACTTTTCTACCGCCCGCGAGGAGCTCTAGCCGCGAACGAAACAAGTGAACGCCGCTTCGGTCGGTCTCACGTACAAGAGAACAGTTGCTAGATAAAATAGCAATTTTATTAACAATTAGTGAGGAGTTAACAACTGTAATGCAACTGCTGATCTTCATTATACAGGATGACCAACGGGAACCGGATGTTTTTAGAATGGTTAGTATGAATATGCTGGTGGAGGGTGGACAAACTGATGAAAACCCTTGCTATGTAGTGTCATTCAAGTAAATACGGAACAGTGAACGGTACAGCACTGCATATTTGCGCATATCTGAAATGATGAGCATGTCACACCGGTACAACGGCTACGTCAAATGACATATCTTCTCTCACACCCCCATCCCTCGACTGATCTGAAAGAGACGATCAAGCAGGAAGTAGCAACAATTGTTCCACCAAACATAAGCCAACTGTCAGGGAAGATTTGATTCCTTCATTCAAACCAATAGTTTCCACACGTGACATTAACTTGAATTTATTTAATTCAGTTCAAAAAGCAAGTAATTACAACGAATTATTCAATAAGCTACCATTTGCTTAAGCAATAAAAAAACAATTGCGTAATGTACTTTTGAAAAACTTCCGGTATCACTTTGTCACCCTATTTAAAAGAGCTTACGATAGAATGGAAATGGGATTCTCACAACACTGTCAATGCAAATAGCGACCTTGTTATTCTGCTGCTGAACGTTCCGCGGCTGAGCGTACGGACGTCACCGGGTGGTGGTCTGGCGGTGACGGCGTTGGTGACGGAAGTTGCGACATGTGTGCTGAGGAGTAGCTGAGTGGAGAGGGGCAAGGAGAGGGTGGGGGGTCGGGAAGCGAGGCAGAAGACGGGGCGCCAACTTGCACGCACATCACGTAAAGCAGACGAAAACACACGAAAGCGAAAACACATTCAGGCAAGCGGCGGACACACACAGGGGCGCGGCTGGCTCAGGCTAGGAGAGAGGCGGTGACACTCAGAGAGATAGAGAAAAAGAAAGAGAGAGTGCGCGGGGGAGAGAGAGAGAGGGAAATAGAAATATACACAAACACGTGAGAGGCGAACAGAAAGTAAAATACAGACGGGAGGTATGTGCGAGAGAAAAAGACAAAACGACTGTGAGTGTAAATAGAGTTAAAAAAGAAAGGAAGAGAAAAAAGAGAGCAAGAGCGAGAAGAAAGACAAATCGCAGGGTGAGTAAGTCAGCGAGTGAAAATGCGAAGAGAGGCGATTACTTACAGCTGTTCCAGCTTGGGCAGCCCTTGGAACACCTTGCTCTCGATCTCTCGCATTCTGTTCTTGTACAGGTACCTGCGGGCCCCCCATCAAATACTTTGGTTTGAATTTGGACACAAGACCACATTAAAACACAAATATTAGGCAAATGATTTAAAACCATCAATTTTGAATCACGTCTCATTCCATTTTTTTAAAAAAATTGAATGTTTAATTGAAAGTGTGTATGTAGCATTGTTTTTGTGTTCTTTTAAATTTCGTTCTGCTTGTACAGGTACCAGGAGACTTAATAGAGACCCGTACCTGGAGACCCGTTATAAACTTTTGTTTGAATTTACATAAAAGATGAACACAATTGTTCACATAATATTGAGTAAATGGAACAAAATCGTATCAGCTCTGAACCACGTCTCAATTTGAAACTCCTTTTAAAAATATCTAAATGAATTTATACTTTTATAACTCCTGCTCCCTTAAGTAACTTGCCATCTGCGAATCCTATTCAAAAGTTTCAAAACCTGCAGTTACGTTCTATGGTTGATTATGAATCAATTCTCATGCAAGAAATATCATAAAGCATTACTACAAACCTAACACCTTATTCAAGCATCTAGTTCTTGTTTACTTACTGGGATTCCTATTCACTTTGGATTGCAAATATATTCAAGATTTACCCGAGACCATCATTTTAAATTAAAAATCTTCTTTCCTCACTTCTGTACCACGTCTAATTCTTATTATTTTTTGCTTTTATCCAAAATACAATTTTTCTTAGCATCTAGCACCCATCACATTCTGCTTTTGTAAAGACATAAAATACTATGAATTCAATTTATTCAGTATGAAAATAAAAACACTAGATTTTAAAATGTGACATACTAAAAATGAAGGTTTAGGACCTTTGCCAATGAATTTTTGTTGACGAAACTATAATTATTTAAAAAACCCTCCTAATTGAAAATATATATTGTTATCTCATTCTCCTACATCTATCCAACCTGGTGCACTGCATTTCAGGCAAGCATGTAATAGAGGAATGTAAACGGGTGGAATATTCAAAATTGCTTAGCCTGATTTACATGAAATTCAGTACTACTTACACACAACAAATCACTTTAAAATGAAATTATTCACTTAAATGCTACAAATCAAAATACTATCAACATTGTATATATGTCTGTGCGTTTTGTGAACATCTTTTGAATTAATTAAAATGTTGAAGTGAAATTTTGATAATTAATGGATATAGCTACAAGACTACTTTATCACACTAGGTTGATGTATGACCAGTTTGGAATGCGCTACAGGCAGCTGACATAAAAATGTTTTTAATTGTTCATTTTTAAGTGCGGTCAATCAATCATTTTTATAATTAATTTAGTGAGACTTTCAGTATTCACATTTTTGTAATTGACTGATTTATGAGTACATGACCTGCCGATAATGAACATATTCAAAATTATCTATTTTGTTGTCGTCGTACATATTCAACATATTTATGAATATTGAAATCATTTATGCCATTTCACCATTAACAGCGTGTGTGGTTAATTAAAAATTCACAAAGGCTTCATTATACTTCACGGGCACATTCCCACAAAACGACGCAAAATATATTAAACTGAACTGAGTTAAATAGAAATATGAGCATATGATGCTAAAACATACATTAAATTCTACTATTTGACCATTTAAAACTACATAGGTACCTTAGCGGTCGAAATTAGGTTTAACGAGAGTGATAAATTAAAAATAAATAATATTTTTAATAAAAGAAACATGATGAACAATAATCGATTTGTCGAAAACTGCAGCCATTTCCCAGAGAATGTTTCTGTGCGAATCGGAATGGAATAGTTCGATAAACATTCTTAGACAAAAAGAGATTATTATATAGAAGGTGTTCAAGATACTTATTATTACTATTATTATTATTATTATTATTATTATTATTATTATTATTATTGAATTACATAGTTGGAGCAACTGCTGAATCACAAAAAACGAGAATCACTCAGACTCCGTACAGTGCAGAGATAGGGGTACTTTTCCTGCATTTATCTCAGAGAAAAAACTGGCGATGAGAAGTCGGCCGCAGGATCGAGGGCATTCGAGATACTTTCGCAACACTTTGATTTATTCTTCGGTACCAATCTCGGTGGGTTGTGGTGATTTTCGTGCCGGAGATTTTAGCTGTAGAGCTCCGGACTTACCTGCGTAGTACACCTAATCTTTCAGAGATACCCAGGGTAGAAAACTATAGGAAGTTAGATCAGGTACACTGGGGCTTGATCTAACAGCTAATCTGGGGCCAGCGATTAATTATTCGATCATCATCCTGTACGCACCCTAAAAATTAATGGCTGAGACAACATATCGAATGAATGTGCTCTTTAGAAGCGTTCTCTGCTGCAAATAAAATTTCATTACGCTTGCGCAGTACAAACTCTCTCGAGACATTGAGTGGTCACGGCTTCGCGAATGACACGCAAACCGCAAAGTACTGGCATTAATTCGTGAAGTCCTCGGAAATATGGGCTCACCTCGCTTCGTCATTTTCGGCGAAAAAATATTTCGTCCGCCCTGTTCATTATGATTTATGAGATGAGAGTGGGAACAGTAGTGACTAGTGAATTTCATTTTTACGTAAATCAGAGTGAAAATGTGGGTTCTAAAGTTCAAACATTTTGAATGAAAGAAACTTTATCAGCAGTGTAGCAGTGTTTCAAGAACTCAAAGACTCGCGATCAAATATTCTGAAGCCCCCGTAGCATGAAGTTGGAATATTACTGTATCAACAGTCCTTTACAAACTGATTGCTTGGGCTTTGCTCGTAATTGATAATTACTTGTATATAAAGCTTAAGAGTAATGTGAAAGTTATTAGAATAATTGATTTATAATTTACTACGTTTCTTTGCGCTGTTTGGAATAAATAAATTCTCCAGAAGATTTGTGTTCATTTAGATAGTGCGTTCTTATCTCAACGCATTGTTACACAAATTTCCTCATCTGCTAGTAACTCCTTCCCTGTCGCCAGGTTGATTATTGAAGTTTTCTCCTGGGACACTCTGTAACATGTCTAGCCCAGTGAGAGCCCCAAGGCATGTGCCACGTGATCATCTGAGATGGGGGGATGGAGTAGTAGTGCTCATGAAAATCCCACAGGGCCCATGAAGGCAACCGCCACCCAATTGGTGTTTGTACTGTGTGGTACTGAGCAGCGCCGTGTATTAATCAAGCAACGTGTTGTCATTTATATCAAGTTAAGCCGTGCATCTTAACACAGCAGCTCCAGGTATTGAATAATAAACTGGTTTAGAAAAATATGACTCGTAAATGAGAACACTAATAATAAAATTTCTCATAAAATAATAATAATAATAATAATAATAATAATAATAATAATAATAATAATAATACCATGTTACTCTCTTGTATCTACAACAAAAATATAAACACTTTCCTAATAAAAATAGGTGAAATGGGAGACTTATGAAAGATCACCAGTAATAAAAAGAACTACTAAAACATCATATACACGAGAAATATCTTTTCAAAATATTTCGATCATTTTTTCTCATTTTGGTTTTAAAAATGTTTGGCGAGAAATTGAAATGCCTGCTACTGTCTTTATTTCTATCGAGTAGTTATTACTGCACAGATATATCATAAAGAATTAAAGACTACTAAGTGTTCTAATTTTAAATCTTCACAGACGGGAAATGCTAGTGAAATAAATTTGGTGACTAAGCGCCTACATCTGTAATGAACGAATAAAATATGCCAAAGTGTGATCTAGAAGAAACGTCGTTAAGTAGAAATAATTTTGATTATGACGTGAAATATACAAAATAGCCACTATGAAATTTATTATTCGATTTGAAGAAGATTTTGAGCTTTAAAATATTTTTCCAATGTCGCAATATTTGAAAGTAGAATGTCTTTTCGATATTTATTAAAGATATAGTGGACTTTATTACATAGAATACAAAACCCACAAGAGCATAGGAAAATCTATTTTTTTAATGGGGAGAGCTGATGGTAGAGTTCGGATAACCACAAACTGAAATCCAAAACCAAAGAAAAAAATGAAAACAAAACAAAACTGAATGCAAATTTCTGGTAATAATTACATGTAATACTTTTAGTTCGTAATTCAAGTACCTGCTTTTTTACTCTCTACTCCAATGTCCTAAAAACATGGAGCGAAAGTTTTCCTAGGGTTGATCTTGTTGATTGAGATTGACTTCTCCACATCCCTTAATGTTATATTTCTAAATAAACTAACTAGATACACAGAGTGCGAGAACACGTATTATTTTTGAAAGTAGTATATCTGTGAAATAAGAACGAAAACCTACAAAGCGAAAGACCTTTCGAAAATAAATACCGTACGTTTCATAAATGAATTCAAACCGTATCTGACACTGCCATCTTTTCATTATCCCAATAATTATGAAATATCAAGAACTAGATGTGCCTAAACAAGTTTTATAAATGATTTTTATTATTCTGATAAAATATTAAATTTTTCTTAATTATGAAATTATATTTCAAACAAAATTCAATGAAATTTGTTAATGTTCGAACTGTTTTTCCACAGAACACTCAAAGACATGGTCAGATGTTCTTTTGACAAAAGGTCAACATCCTAATGGAATGAGTTTATGATACGTGAACAACAAATATTTGATAAGATTTGAAAACGATTTAGTATACTCAATACTAGATTTCCTTTTAGAAATTCAATATTAAATTATTCTAAATAAATAAATAAAAAACTACACTTTCAACAAGGTATATTATAAATTTTGGAAATTTAATTATGTTTGTAAATAATATATACTAGCGATATCATATTTATTTTATCGCAGAAGTGAAATATTAAATTGGTCAAGACCTTTAAGAAAACGAAGTGTCTTTCTTGATTATTCCTACTGTCCAAAGATTTGTTTCGATTGGCTGAGTACATTGACTTAAAATGTTAATTAAGATTTATTTGCCTTTACAAAAATTAAACCTTTGCTACTTGAGAAATGACTCAGCATAATTAAAAAAAATTGAGTGAATGAG